GCCAGAAAATTGTGATCTACAACTCATAGTCCAGTCATCTTACCCAGGTCTTTATCAAGCAAAGAATTACCAGAGCCCAGTTTCTGCAATATTTACTGACCTTATAAAGGATGCATATTATTATACTTGGATTATTACATTGTATTTATATCCTGCTTTTTTTTTCTTTATGTGAGAGCAACTGATTCAACTCCTTTTAATCTTTGCAGCAACAACCCTGTTAAGTAATTTAGGCTGAGTATGAGTGAGTTGTTAAGCTTTGTATTACGATTTGAATCATTAGTCAATAAAACTAGATTTAAATCATGGTTTTCTACAGAATTTGCATAGTTTGCCTTGTCTGTGGGTGGATGAACTTCATTAAAATATTCCCAAACTGGGTCTCTTTTACAGCCTACTGCCATTAGAGGTTTTTTCCTCCATGAAATAATAGGATAAACCTCAGACTATACACAAAAAGATCTGAAGATTTGTGGAGTGTTCTGCTCAAAAGGCTTCACTTTTGTTTTTACCACTTACCCCTCCCTCCTCATACTTAGCTTCTTGTACAGATCTATTCCCCTCCCAAAAATCTTAATTATTGAATTTGTTGAAACTTGGCACTTAAGAAGAGGTAAGGGGTTGTTTCTGTGTACATAGATGTACTATGTACTATTGGATTAAGGTCTTTTTTCTCAACTCTGTATGTTTATTTTGTAACATAGATGTGAAGAGGCACGTGATCTCTACAGACACACATTCACAGTTCTGAGAATTGTAAAACCACGTACCTGTGATAATACCTTCTAGACAGAAAATTGCCCAATAATCTTAAACCTCTGGAAGAACATGACATTGTGAATGAATTAATGGAATTCATTTACCAAAATATCTAAACATTGCATGAATATATAGCTTCATAATTAAAAACTAATCCTTATTTCATGATGAATAACTTTTGGATTATAATGTATCTTAAATAAAAAACTATCCTTAGATACATTTTTCCTCAAAAAGCATTTTATTGTAAAAATCCAGTTTAAATTTAAAATTTTCAAATTCTTGATTTTTTTAAATCATTGATTTTTATCCACCCTGTATCTATGTGATGACTAGAATCTGGATTCCAGCATTCTAACCACTGTCCCGTACTGGTTCTCAAAACACTGAAAGTGTGATCTGTATGGCAAACAATATTGTAACCTTGGCATTATTTGTACCACACTCTAACCAAGCAAGTTACTGGTACTCATTATATAAATTGGTGCATAGCTGAGACAGGGCTTCTGAATTTCCTTTCAGAAGATGAGTAACTCTTCTGTTAAGACTAGGAACTGAGCAGCTTTCTTCTCTAAATACACCAACTCATAGAGGTTTTATGGTTAGCACAAGATGAAAGTTCAGTTCAGATTTTTTTTAAAAAAATTAAACAACTGCTATGGGAACCCTGCAGGTTCTCCTTAGCCTCAGTCTCATAAGCTTTGGTTGAAAAGTCCATGATCATATGGCTATGAAAACGTAATATGACTAGGTATTAGGATTAACAGTTGATTAAGCATGGCTTGGACATTTCACTGAATTCCAGATTTTGAAAAGGATTTTGACCTTTTCTAATAGTGCCACTTCATTATAATAAGGATGGACACGTCACTGTTCAAAAATTTCGATCAACTGACAAGTGGAGTATATTCATGTTATTACAGTAACAAATGTTGATTATCCATTTCTCCAATCAGCTCAGCAATTTCAAACATACATTTTTCCCGAATGTGTTTAAAAGCCCTGTATATTTAATTGAAAATCTTAGAGGATTCATTTGCAAAAGAAGATGCTAATAAAATTGCAGTCATGGCTTGAAATGCTTGAAAACTTAATAAAGCAGGACACCTTTATATAAGACACTGTGCCGTATTCCAAGAGTCCAGAACAGGCAGCTGTGAAACCTCAAGAGAGAAAGATTAGACAAAATAATTCCAGTTTCTAGATGTAACAGAACACAGCATGTGCAGGTGAACAGGTGCTTGAGGTTCTTTTCAAGTCTAGGTAATTACAAGTGTATTTAAATGTAGAAAGAATTACAGCACAACTACTGCAAATAGAGGTAGTACACAATAAATGTTGATTCTGCATAGATAATAAGGAAAACTTGTTGACGGACATGATCATGGTACAGTTGCACTAGAACACAGTCTAATTTGCACAGTGTCCAGAAGAATAAGTGTATTGGTCTTTTTCAGCAAAACCAATCTTTTAAGGCTAAGATATGTATTATGGCAAAAACAACAACAATCAAAAAACCCATCAGAAACAAAAAAAAAACACAACAGGCACTAGATTTCTTACCCATCATCTAATGAAGTGGACTTCAATTTATGGAAACATGCAATACATTTATTAGTCTTTAATGTGCTATAAAATTGTTTCTGTTGATTTTTTGCCCCAACATTTTGAACATTTTTTCTTGCTTACTGAAATAGTATTGAAACAAGATTAAGGATCTTCTGGAAACCTTTGTTCTGTGTGTAATAAAGCATTTTGATGGCTGAGAAAGGGACTGATAGCTTCTGATCCCTTCTGTTTTATGGAGTGACTTTTAAAAAAATGAATTCAAATATTGTGCTATTATGACATGTTGGCAAACATGCTAGGGATTTTTTTGATTTGTGATAAAAGTTTGTGGGCTTCCATTCCCTCTTGAGGAAATATTCCATTCCTGGTTTAAGTAAGGTAAAGGTATAACATCAGTGTTGACTTTGGTTAATACTATTTTGCTTTTGTAATATTTACTAACCTGATTCAAACTGGCTTTCAAATTATGTTTGAGTGAGATTTGTAGTTAGCATTAACTGTAGTCAGTGTAGGTATTCATATACACCTGAATGGCAATTAAGTGTGTGTATATGCACAGGGGGTGCAATTTGCTCTATGGACGGGTGAGTTGTAGGAGGTTAAGTGATTACTAGTGTCATTTTGACAGTAGCATCACTGTATTATATAACCATTTAGAAGTTAATCTAGAGCTGGGTTTGATGTCTGTATAGGAGAGTTGTTTGAATTGCCACCAAAGATTTTTATCCTTTTGTAGAAATAGTTTTAGTCAAAGTGGCTCGAAATTCTAGAATCAAAGAACAGTCGAGTTGTTCCTGACGTCCAGCCATTCTGAGAAATGATCCTAATCTCTTCTTTGAGACAACCTTTCAAGTTCCTTAAAGAGTGCTGTTATAACTCCCCTCAGCCTTCTCAAGACTTAAACATGCTTAGTTCTTTCAGTCTCTTCATAAAGTTTTTTCCCACTCCCCAGATCATCCACACACACACACACACACACACACACACACATATATAAACATTTTAAACTAACGCTAGAAAACATCAAACATGACAAACGTTGGATTTACTGGGTCAGCCTCCTAGTACATTTTTTTTAACATTCTAAAGTCAAATTTCAAATCAATTTATAATAGTTTAAAAAACATCTCTAAATTTACGCCAGGTCCCGTTTCTCCAACCAATTATAAAAAGAGTCTCAAGTTCGATAGAAATCAGTATCCTCTTTCTCCTTCAACGATAAAGTCAATCTATCCATTTCTGCACAAAAATGGTTATGAGAAACATAACCATTATAGTATACTGATTCTCAGTTTGGGATTCATTTTTAAACCTGTCCTCTTTTGTTATACAGACTTCTACTTGATCATGATTTTTTGATCTTTCCTAATCAGTAGAAACAACTTTTCTAACAGGAATGAAGTAGTAAAGGAGGGAAGTACACTCAACCTCTTTGTATGACAGATAAGGCTAATTTTACCATATGCTTCAATCACATCTTACTAGATGATGATGAAGGGAACTTCAGCTACCCATCACAAAATTGATTAGATGGTGGTAAATCACTTTCTCTAGGAACCACCCTAAGAAATGAGGCCCAGAATGGGGAAGAGGATTCATCCAATTTAATCCATGCCTCTCTAACCCAGATGGTCTTCAGTAAAGTCATTATTATTTACAATGCTAGCTCTTTAGTTCTTTGACTGGGCTTGGACATCCTTCATATAATCCTTAAACTTGCATTCTTGAGGCATCCATACAATTTTCAGAGACTGTTTTTCATTTGGAAACTTGATTCACAAAACTACTAAATGTTTGCATTTAAATTCTTCTATATTAAGAAAAGTGCTATAATTTGATGCTTGCAAGGGCTCTTACAAATAATGACATAGCTATGCATATATACCTATACTTACAGTAAAAAAAAAATTCCATTAATTCAGATTGCTTTTTTGCATTTTGGCCTTCAAAGGACAATTTCTTGGACTTTTCAGAGGCATCTTTTGAAAAGAAAATTTCAGAAAATATTGTTTGTATCCATGGATGGCTCATATACCCGCCTCTGAATTGGGTCTTAGATTTTTCTGATCTCTTAGATTTATCTAACTAATAAGGCAAAAGCAATATATAAGTGATCCAGGATAACTAATTTAATCATTAAACCCTAACTAACCACTTGTGATTTTTCTACTGTTCATCCTTTGTGTTGATAAATATATAATTAATATTGGCCTGGTTCACATAAAAAACAGTAGCAGCCAGTTAGCACACAGCAGTTACCTACCCTCCCCAAGTGCACAAAAAGCAATTACCTGCTGTAATTTTAATATTAAAAACGGTTTCTGGCAAGCACTGTAACACATAATGGTTTAATTTAAGCCACCTTGCAATAATTGTGCAAATTGGCCTTCTTAGAACTTAAAATATTGTGGGCTAGTTAATAATGTATTTGATCTTCCTTTGCATGTGTTAGAATATCTGTTTATAGGGGACTGTTTTATAAATAACATTGAATATCCTTGGTATGAAACACATGGTGGAATTAACATTATTTTTCCTTTTGTTTCTCCAGCTATGTAGGAAATCTTTCCCGAGATGTAACTGAAGTTCTTATACTTCAGTTATTCAGCCAAATTGGACCCTGCAAAAGCTGTAAAATGATAACAGAGGTAAGACAATGTTAGCCTAATTCACATCAAATATAGCTTGATTTTTGGTAAATTAAACTAATTATTGAACCTGGTATTTGAAACATCTCTGGTAGAGCTGCAGTATTGACTGTATATGTCTATTCCAATGAAAGCCCTTTTGAATTCAGTGGGGCTCCCTCCAGGTAAGTGTGTTTAGCATTGCAGACCTAGTAAATTAGTTAATCTAAGCACAGATCATTTGACCACATGAAATGGTACCTTTTAAGAAAGTTGATAAATCTTAAGAAAGCAAGTTATTTTATTATAAGTATCCATATAAGAACTTCCAGTGGCAAATGCCATTTCCCCTTCTGTGCCGCAAAAAAGAGAATGTCCTTGCCTTTTATGACATATACACATCATATAGACACGATAATATGTACACTTTTAATTATATTTAAAATATGATTAATTGCTGGAATATTTAATTGGATCAGGTGACATTTGTTTTCTGAAAATGAAAATTCAGACACTGTCTGATTCTTGGAAACGATGGTCATAGAAGTTCCATTGCAAATATGGTTGCTGGACATTGTTATTTGAACCAATGAGGAATTTCTTTTTCCTGATTGCTAAAATTCACTCTTTTTAAAAATTAATGGTTTGTCAGCTCATGCATGCTTTTTAAATTGGTTAATCTTAATTATGTTTGTGTGTAACAAACCAGCTTCCAGCCATGAGTTATAAAGCTGTCTTGTTTCAATGAACAGTAACATTTCAGTGTTCAGGCAACACACTAAACTGAAGTTAATCTAAAATGGAACCAGGCTCTTCTGATCTCTCAGCTGTGCTGGGAAAGGGGCAATGTAGTGTGCAAGTCTAGGGAAAACTTGACTGGTTCCTGTCCAGATAAACCATGGCTTACTGTAAAACCAAACACAGCCAGTATCCTTTGTACCTTATTGGCAAACATAAATACCTTGCTTTCAGTGATGGCAGAACTTCACAAGGAAAAAGACAGTGCTGTCCAATAGAATGTATACTAAGCTTGACCTGACTCTCGGATTTATTAAGTGGCTTGAAGAAGTTGCACTTTCTTTGTCCATACTTTTGACCATAAAAGACCTGTCTCCTTAAATCTAGCTGAAAAGTTGAATAGGATAAGTATTTAAAGCGTGTGGCACAAACAGCTCCATAAATGATAGAAAGCACCAGGTTTTTAATGTTGAATTTTCCTTCCTGCTTTCCCCATTTTTAAATGCTGAGCTAGTAGCACCATAAAGATGCTTGAAAGGAACAAGGGATCAGGGTTAGACTCCTTTGACGTGCCAAGAGAGCAGAATTCTGGCAGTTTAGGGGTTGCAGGCTGTTCCCTTATTATATTCTCCTTTCTGATTTTAATAACATAAGAAAGGGGCAACATAATTTCTTGTATACTGATGAACTATTCCCTTATTTTCTGAATTGTAACCTTTTCTGAATTGTATATTAACATGTGGCCTGATGGATACAATCCAGCAAACATTACTTGCCTTTATATTCTATTAAAACAAACAATGGGAATTGGTCTCAGTTAGCTTTTGCTAGCTCTTACATATTATGTGATACTTCAGTGTCAGTCAGCTTTAACTCTGTGAGCAAGATGAGGAATCTACTTCAGTTTTGTGTGTCTGTGGAGTATTTGTATGCCTTACATTTGTTGGAGATGCCCCAAGCAGTATGGAGTTACTTTCTGGTGTCTGTACAGAAGTCAGTGGCAGAGGTTGAAGAATCACACATTTCTTATTGCCTGTCTTCTATCTAGAACTCAGACAAATTATATCAACCTCATCTTTAGCTCTTCCCAGTCCTCATTCAGTGCTGCAGCTAAATGTGATGGCAATTTGCAAAGCGCTCAAGCTTCTGGTAAATTCTATACTGCATTTTGTATTTTAAATATAATATCTAATCTTATAACAGTCATATATTTGATTTTAATTAATAACTTTTCCAAAACTTCTCTAAAGGGTGTTGTCATATTTTTATTATATCCCTCCCTCTGCTTATTTTCTGTAACTTGTAAGACAGGGATGGACAACTTGTTGCCCTCCATATGTTTGGGCGTACAGCTCTGAGCCTCCTTAGCTGACATAGGTGAGAGATAATGAGTGATCTACGGATAAGCATCTGAAGGGCTGCAGGTTGTCCACAACTGTGGTAGGATATTAATAGCCCCCAATATTGAATAGGGATTATTTCAGATTTTCCCATAAGAAACACTCAGGAATATATTTTTCAAACAGTTCTGTGTTTCATATATATCCTGTAATGTTTTGTTTTGCTTCAATTTCTATTTAGATAGATTGCACATTTTTCCAGTTAGCCCTTTATGAAATTCTTAAGTATGGTGTTAAACAAGATGGTAAAGAATAAAAATAAAATGACCTAAACTTGTATTTATAGAATTTAGAAATATGTTATATCCATTTGGTTTAGCTATTTTCCGACTATTTTCCTGAAAGTAATACATCTTAACAAGTATTTTTATTTTTTGCTATAATGCACCAATACAAGCAAGGATATATCTGATCTCTCTCCAGAACTCTACCCCCCACCCCCCATCTTAGCTGCAAAAGAATTCCCGTCTGGCATTTTTAATCTGTTGTCAACAAGACACTGTCCTTTTGGAACAGAACCCTGTTACATGTACAGAAAACCAGGTTACTAGCAAGGGAAGGAAAAAGTCGTTCATGTTCATGTAGAATTTTCTCCATGTTACGGACATGTGGGAAATTGTGTGTATGCATGTGACTTTGCTCTACTGAGTGAGTGTATGTGTATATACTCTCTTCATAACTCATGTTGAGAATTGTTTTATTAAGATTATATGAAGGAATGAATAAATTATAAAACCTATAATTACATAACTCAAACTAGTAAAGGTGTTCTTCATCCCAAAACAGGCTTTTGTGCATAGGTCTCTTCTGGATCCAGTCCTATGTGTCAAAAGGTAAAAAAATAAAATTTAAAATTTAAACCTCCCCCAGCATCCTCTGCAATGCATTTGGTGCTGTTTTGTTGGATCGGTGCCACATTCGTGTTCACCAAATAGCGGTCTGTCAGTGGCAGTTATGATAGGTGTAACAATCAGTCATCTGTTTTTTTGGTGAGTGTTACACTTCTCCCTCTCAGCAAATAGTCCAGTTACACCTCCTGCCTACCCACAAAGTAGGTGCTCCATGATATTTCTGCTGTGATGTTGATTAGGAGAAAACTGTATGTGCAGGTCCAAACCTGTAGGCTGTTATTACATGCTCAGGTCTAGAAAGAGGTCACAACTGCAATTATGTGAATGTTATTACTTACGCTATTCGTAACAGAGTACACAGCAATTAGAGGGTTTTTTTGTGAACATTTATATTAGTATTTTCTTTTCTAGCTTTAAGTAATATATTTTCCTGGATTTTCTTCTCAGCAACCCGATAGCAGAAGGGTCAACTCTTCTGTTGGATTTTCTGTTTTGCAGCATACAAGCAATGACCCTTATTGCTTTGTGGAATTTTATGAACACAGGGATGCAGCTGCTGCATTAGCTGCTATGAATGGGAGAAAAATTTTGGGAAAGGTACGTTGCATCAAAAGAATGACGTGCAAATAAGTGAATAGGCTAATTATGTTCCATGGCAAACATTTTAGACCCTGTTTTTAGAAGTATCTTAATTAATGTTTTCATAAAGAGAAAACAGCCTTTTTGTTAGATTTACACTTTTACTGTGTCAGAGTTGACATGCATTTGAGAATTATGTTGGTACTAATTTTTTTCTTAATTTCAGGAGGTAAAAGTTAACTGGGCAACAACACCGAGTAGCCAGAAAAAAGATACATCAAGTAAGTAATGTTAGTGCCCTGAAATAATTATGTTGAAGTAATCTTAGCAGTATAATTGTACTCACAAATGTATAGGTTAAAATCCAACATGGATTTTGATTAAAGTAAACCCTTTGAAATGCATTGGACTTAAGTTAGTCATGACTATACTAAGTTGGACTATACTAAGTCCAACTCTCATTGCAGGGGATCTGCTTCAAGTAGGACTTAGGTTTTAATCTTCCCATGTACTTTGCCATGTTTCTTTTCTATTTTGGTTTTATATAGTAGCTGAATTACTCAGCTTTTGATGGACTTATTACATGTATATCCTGCTGTTTTTCCTGTAAAGGTGCATTTCAGTTGCCAAATAACTTTGTTAGCTGAAGGATCTAATTTACTAGTTAAATGCAGATGTGAATTTGAACAGATAATTGTGTGAATCCTAGTCAAGTCCCTAAGAGTAACAAAATTCAGTTTCTTCCAATGCAAGAGAGCTAAATTAATGGATAACAACAGTGTAATAGTGTGTGCTTTCCCTCCAGATCACTTCCATGTGTTTGTGGGAGATTTAAGTCCAGAAATAACAACAGAAGACATCAAGTCAGCTTTTGCTCCTTTTGGTAAAATATCGTAAGTACCGTAGCTCGTTCCTTAAATCATGAATACAGAACAAGTCATGGTACAAGTTTGTTCTCTAAAATTGGTGTCCTTCATTCGCTCAGTTTGTTTAAAGTTTTCCTGGTCATGGGGAGTGGGTGGGCTAGCGTGATCTTGATGGGGTTTGCATTCTATGTCCCACATAAACATGAATGAATTCTCTGTATCAAATCTGTTGAAAGCTGTATGCTTTTAACATTCATTTTGTGTTTGGGGTTTTACGCTGTTGGCAAATGAACAAGAAAATAGTGTTGGTTCTTGGGGTTCATTTGGAGTTGTGTATTAGAAGTGTATCACGGTATCTTCCATATCTGATAACTGTTTAGTTAGTGTTGGACTGCAAAAATATTATGCAAGGTAGTGTAGCAAGGAATAAAACCTAGCTGTGTATATGTATTATTTTGAAAAGCAGTGGCATTACATTTAAAGTTCTTGAATTTAGAAATTAAACCAGCACTTTCTGGTAAGTTAAGTACAGCAGCTTTTGTTGTGGTGGTGCACAGAGTTTGCCAATCCAAAATATCTTTTCTGTGTAGACAGTAGGAACTTGGGATTAGATATCCAAATATCTATAGATTTTTAACTGAATATTTTAAACATTGTAAGTGTTCTTGTAAGTGCTATAGCATGTCTGTCTTTCTCTTGTTGCATAATCTAGCTTCTTCACAGATTTTCTTCTATTGTTTCCTTTATCCTTTTAACAACACCAAAGCAAAACCTCAACATCTTGTGTTACTTTACAGGAATATATTTCTGCTAAAAACATCTTTTCTCTATACATTCTGTACATATTTTCAAGTGAAACATAAATCTTATTTTGTCTTATTTTGTTTGCTTTTTATCTCAGTGTGGTAAGTAGTACTGTTTGCGAGCCAATATAAAAAGGTTTAATACAGGTTGCTATTTCTCATTCTTTATTTATACCTGAGACCTGCAGTTTTTCTAAAGTCCAAGTCACAATTAAAAGTAATAGCATTCTGATTATTTTGCAGAATTGCTCATAAGAATGGACAGGATCTTGAAGCTAACTGCAAGGAACTGTGCACACTGGAACTCAGTTGTAGATTTTTTTTCTCATTTCTATTTATTCTTATTATACATTATTTATATATACATATCTTAGTATTTACATTTAACATTCTATATTCAGTGCAGTTCTATATTTCCAATCATTTTAACTTACTCACTAAAATTTATGTGTAAAATTTGTTGTTTTCGTACTGGTGTGCTTAGCATTGTTGTTAGTTTTATTCTCCTTTCTTAAATTTCTGAAAATGTCAATTTTTCAAAATTTACAGCTGCCCAAACTCCAAAATGATGGTAGAGAATTGACCAAGAAAAATAAAGAAATCTGTTAACAGGCCATGTATGCCTTTTAATTCCTATTTTTTTCCTCTTTTTCAATTTTTTAATATTTCATATTTTATATCACTAGGCAGAGGGCATTTATTTAGAAAATGCATGGTAAAATAGTTAGAAATGTTACAGTAATTTATAGAACAGTGAACCTTAGAGGACCCTAGCCAATAGAGTATTAGAAAAGGAAACTTTGTTCCTTTTAACATTTCAAATTTAAACATTTTAGTTATAGAAAGTGTAGGTTATATGGATAGGTTGCATGTTTATTACATGTTATTTTTTTTGTCCTACTGCTTTTTTCTAACAGGTAAAGAAGCATTAGGGAGAGTTTAGAATGGTTATAGTTATAGGGGTTATTGAGTTTATAATAGGGAAAATTATGCTCACAATACAGTGTGTGTGGTTCCTTTTAGTTTTTATTTTGAAAATCTTTAATGTTTTCCTCATATAACTGTGCTTCTCTTCCCAGGGATGCACGAGTAGTTAAAGATATGGCAACAGGAAAATCTAAAGGATATGGCTTTGTATCATTTTATAATAAACTGGTGAGTAATCAGAAACTTAATCAGCAATTAACTTTCTGTGGACTAACAGGCCATAGACAGGTATCAGTATGTGGCCTGGGGGTTGGGGACCTCAGTGTAAGGAGATGGGACTTTTGGATGAAAAGTGTCACTTTCAGACTTGACATGTATGTATGTATGTATTTTATTGAATTTATATACCATACTCAATAGTCCCAAACTTCTTGGATAGTGTATTGTTTTTAATAGAATAATTGTGTGCATGGGAGACATTTCTGATTGCCTGAGGGGAATATCCCTGATTTTCATGGAATCCCTTCTTTCTGTGTCTCCTCATGTTGTAGCCTTTGCCATTCCAGTGCGCCCCCCCCCCCCACTCCAATTATCTGCAGTGACTCCTCTGGAAATAATATGTGTTAGTCACGAAGTCATGTCCGACCCATCGCGACCCCATGTTGTCCATGGGGTCGCGATGGGTCTTTTTTTTTTTTTAGATGGAGTCACTGAAGCAGTTGGTGTGAGCTTAAGTAGACTCCATCTAGCCACCTCATTCTCTGCCATTCCCTTCTTTTGCCATCAGTTGTTCCCAGCATTAGGCTCTTCTCCAGGGAGTCCTCCTTCTCATTAGGTGGCCAAAGTATTTGAGTTTCATCTTCAGTATCTGGCCTTCTAAAGAGCAGTCAGGGTTGATCTCTAGGACTGACTGGTTTGATCTCTTTGCAGTCCAAGGGACTCACAGGAGTCTCCTCCAGCACCACATTTCAAAGGCCTCAATTCTTCAACACTCAGCCTTCCTTATGGTCCAGCTTTCACAGCCATGCATTGCAACTGGGAAAACCATAGCCTTGACTATACGCACTTTTGTCAGGAGGGTGATGTCTCTGCTTTTTAGTATGCTGTCTAGATTTGCCATAGCTTTCCTTCCCAGGAGCAAGCATCTTTTAATTTCTTGGCTGCAGTCCCCGTCTGCGGTGATCTTGGAGCCCAGAAAAATAAAATCTGCCACTACCTCCATTTCTTCCACATCTATTTGCCAGGAAGTGATAGGACCAGATGCCATGATCTTAGTTTTCTTGATGTTGAGTTTCAGGCCAACTTCTTTCTATGTTTCTGTTATCCTAGGAGATGGGTCCTTGCCAAGGACATCTGGCTACAGTTTTTACCCTAGATGGCAAACATCAGAATTGTTGACAGCTGTCTATGTAGAAGAGAGTGGGGTCTCCTCAAATTGGCTGCTTGGCATTGCCCCATCATCAGGGAAAAGAGGCTCAAAAACTTGATTCTGGAGGGTTTTCGTCTCCTGCTGTATTCCAGTCCAGTGAGATGTGTTTTTCCCCTGCCTAGCTTCTGAGACCTGTGCAGCAAGAAGGCCTGTGTTAGGCAACTCAGAGAGTAGAGCTAACTTATTTTATCCCATATGGTGCATTAAGGAGTCCAGTTGGCTGGGTTTTGGATACTGCACAGCCTTGATGCTTCTGCATAATTATCACAATCCTCTTGCCCAGTCCCCCTTTTTTCTCTGCTTTAATAAACTCGTTTTTAATCTGATTCCAATCACAGTTGTGCTAAATCTGGTGTCTAGACCATGGGGCTGAATGCAGGGAGTGCACAGGTTTAGCCCAGCAATGGGGTTCAGACTGATGTCTCTGACTTTCAATTACAGATGTTTTCCATGTGATGAGTCCAACCTGTGAACCCATTGCTTTTTGATGGACTGTTAAGAGTGGTTTCTTGTTAGGTCTGGACCTGCCAGGGCGAGTTCATCATTGGTCGTTGGGAAGGGTAGAGAGTTGCCTGGCAGAAATAACATACATCCTTGCCACTTCTCATGATCTTGCTAGTTTTGTTGGCAACCTTCTTCATCTCTTGTTAGTCCCCTCTGCCCTATCATTGTAAAAATTAAGAAAAAAAGAAATTGAATTGTATCCAAACTTTTGTTTTGTTTAGTTGGTTTACACAAGTGTGCATATTTGCAAATCTGCTATGACATATGTGTAATTTTTTCCTCTGTTTCACTGTTCTGCCTTGAAATTTGTAAATTTGTATATGTGTATTGATCACCAAACTCCCTGCTTTACCTTGAAATTTGCATATCTTTACTGATCCGTCTTACTTCTTTGTATCCCACATATATATCTGACCAGTGAAGTGAACTGACAAGTTAGTGAGAGAAGCTGAAAGTGGCTGGCAGTTGCAAGAGAGGGAGCTTTTTGAGTGGGTATAATTACTTTGGTAGTATGTGAGTCAGAGTTTTTTTGGGTGTTTGCTAGCAAGACATGCACTGAGACAGAATGGTATTGACCAGAGGAAGTATCAGTGTGGTGGCTTGGTGAAAGACCTTGATTTTTATAACCTTTATTAAACATGTAATTGCATTCATAAAGGACCTGACCATTAAATATATTTGACAATCTGATGTGGGAGGCAAGGAGAGTTCCCCCCATCAGCTGGCGGTCCCAGTTGTCTGATTGTAAACCAATTAATTGTTGATGTGAAGAATGATGAGATGAAGATTTTGACTTTAGAGTTTCCTATGATACATGCTGAACGCTGGCAAGAGGACTAGGGGGGGAAATAAGCCGCTGCATCTATAGGAGCTTATTGAGCAAACAACCACCCCATGGCAGCTTATTTTCAGAGTGGTTTATGTAAATGTTAATTTGCCAATGAATTGGCTGCAGAGAGAGAGAGTGGGGAAGAAACGAGGATCCCTTCTGTGAAATTTGTTTTCTTTAATGTCAAAAACTGTGGGTTCAAATAATTGTCTTCCGTGTTGGGGCTCAGATTCTACTTCTGTCTTGTATTCATTATGTTGAGCAAGTTACTTCTCCTTTGAGACTAGTTAAATTAGAAAATCATGGGAAATTTTATAGAACTATATGCAATTAAAATACAGAAAATGGGGGCTGGGTAAACAAAACATACGCTTTGCACTTCCAATTTTGACATGGCTTATTTTCAAATGTTATCTTTTTGATGCATATGTACTGAAAACTGAACCTATGTTTTTCCATCAGGATGCAGAAAATGCAATTGTGCATATGGGAGGGCAGTGGTTGGGAGGTCGTCAAATCAGAACTAACTGGGCAACACGAAAACCACCTGCCCCAAAAAGTACACAAGAAAGTAAGTATATCAGTGAAGGTAGACCTGGGGAGACATAGTAGTCTTCTTTCTGTTAATGTAAATCTGAAATGCTGTAAGATATGTGTGTGTGTGTGTATTTGGAGCAGTTTAGGCATAACAGTAAACCAGAATTCTTTAGTACAAGTTAGTGCATACTGCTCAATTACTTCATTTTGGCTATCCCTGCAAGCAGGAGTGGCAAAACAAGTGGAGCACATACTGTCTATGGTTAGTTTAACATAACATCCAAACAGGGAAATCAAACTTTTTGCGCTTCTCACAAACTAGACTTGTAATCCTATAAGAAATCCTGGTTTATGTCTCTGGCTTGGTGGGAGATGAACATGCCAAGGTTCCTTGCCTCATTGCATGTGAATCAGGCCACAGTCTACAGCTCTTTGCATAATTTTAAAAATAGTATTCCAAAATTCAGTAATATTTGTATAACACATTTGATTGTCCAAACACATTTACTTATCTCGTAAATTTTATGGTTTGTATAATTAAGTTTTGTAAGTTTACAGCTGGAAGATAGTTAAATTTGGGTTTAGGGTTAGGATTAACTTCAAATCAGTCATTGTAAAATACTTCAGAAATGTACAGTTTCCATTCACAATCAATGTGATTGGAAACCAAAACCAACCAGTCAATAGCCTAATAAGGAAAAAAGGGGAATAAAGATGGGTTCTTCACCTTTTGTAAAGAATGCACTTACAAAATGACTAACCATGTGTTTTTAAACCCATGGATTGATTGTCAGGGTTGTGAGCAAGCATGCTCCCCCATGCACTCATTGTTTCTGCTTCAAATCAACTTTCATAAACAACCCAGGAACTCCAAACTCTTGTCAACAGTCAACAAATCCAGAGTTTGAACCTGTAGTTTGTTGAGTTGGCACTTTGTCTGTCTCCTATCAGTCCAGCACTCAAAATTCAAATGTCATATCAAAAAACCCCCAGGAACAGGATAATGAAAGTTGATTCATAGTAGGACAAGTGCCCCTGCAGAAAGGAATTGGCACAATTCTACCAATTATGCCAATTAACTCATTAATTGGCATTACATACAAGCCAGGTCCTCCTTGCTTTATTTGCTAAAAAGCCATCAAGACAGTGAATAACAATTTAAAACAATACAACCCTGTCTACATAAAATAGCATTTAAAAACTTCAAAATATTAAAATAACTGTATAATATAGAAGGCTAAGTTTAAAGGAAATTTAAATTTACACCCTTTCTAAAAGATGAGAGAGCTGGACAAATATTAATTTTTAAGGCTGTGTATACCGCACTGTGGGTTCAAGGACAATAAGCCTCTTTCACATGTGCTTGACCCATGGACCTTTGTGGGTAAAGATGCCAACAAGAGAGTCTCTCCTGCAAAACTTAATAACTGAACAGGTTCATAAGAAGGCAGGTGGTCCCTTGGATAGTCGAGTTTTAATATGTATAATGGCTGTAAAGATTAAGAGTAGCATCCTAATTAAGCCTGAAAAGCAGTTAGCACTGGTTGCAATTACACTTTCAAGACAGGTGTCCTGAAACATTAGTTAGTAGCCTAGCTTCCATATTTGTCTACCAGTTGAAACTCCCAGGCATTTTTAATGGGTAGCCCAACAAACTATTGTTTTATTTATGTTACATTACATTAGTTGGAACATTCTGTAGCCAAAGAATAACTGTTGCTAAGCCAGGACCTATTCAAGAAGGAGAATCCTTGCTATTGCTGCCACCTGAAGATCCAGTGCCAGTTTAGTATCAGGGAGTATTCCCAGGCTATGGATTAGATCCTTCAGCAGAAATACAGTCCCTTCCAGAACAGATGAAATCCCAATACGTAAATCACGCTTTCTACTGACCAACACCACCCATGTCTTGTTTGGGTTTAACCTCAGGTGATTCATTGTCATCCAGCCCTTTATCAAGCCCAAACAGAATTCAAAAGTTTTGATGGCTTTCTTCAACTTAGAGAGCAAAGATAAATCAAGCTAGGTTTTACCACCAATTTTAATCTAAAATTGCTGCTATTTTAATCCAACGCTCTGAATGATATCTCCCAGCAGATTCATTTAAACATTTCAAAACTAACTGGGGGTGGGGAGCATCAGGCCTAGGGACAAAATCAGGCCTTCTTGGGATTCCAGTCTGGCCCTCTGTGGTTCCTCAGATAGCCCCTCTGCCTTTCCCCGTACCACTGATTTTTGATGATTTCCTAGCTGTTGTACAATTTTTTCCTCCATTCTAAAGATTGAAATTACTCTGTTAAGGGTTAGTTCTTTGTGTGTCTGTAATTCACACACATAGGTTAAGCATCTGCACAGAACGCACATATGTAGGTTCACAAATGACCCTCGAAGAACCATAGGTAATTGCAGGTAAGTAACCTGGCATTATACAGTAAAACCTTGGATTGCGAGTAACTTGTTCTGCAAGTGTTCCACAAGATGAGCAAACATTTCTAATAAATTTTAACTTGATAAATGAGTGATATCTTGCGATATGAGTAGTATGTGAAGCTGAATGTTACATGATCACAACTGAGCCAATGGTGGTTTGCTCTCTCTCACTGCCATCTCACCCTCATGTTTTGTGCTAATGCAAATGGGGATTTCAAAGGTGCAAAAGAGCCAGTTAAATGTTATGTGGAGGTCCAACAACAAGGTTCCTAGTTAAAGTTGCACGAAAAGAAAAAGATTCCATTGAGCCAATAGTTAGCTGTGATTCCGTTAGTGATAATGAAAGTTGTCATACACAATAACCCTCCTCTCTCTTGTCTCCCTCACACCAGCCATGAAGGTTTTCAAAGATAAGTGCAGGTTAATTTGTTTTATTTTTCTTTATATTTTGCATTTTCTTTATTCTTTTGTATTATATTGCAGTATTGTAATCATTTTATTTGAATATTTTTGGGTTGTGGAATGAATCATCTGAGTTTCCATTATTTCTTATGGGGAAATGCACTTTGATATACAAGTGCTTTGGATTACAAGCATGTTTCCGGAATGAATTATGCTCGCAAACCAAGCCTTTACTGTACTTCACTATCATGGGTTTGAACTTGTATTTCTGAAAGCCACATGGCTTAAAACAGGAGTGGAGTCTAGGAATTTCTGGCCCTACAGTTTACTTTACTATACTAGACCAGCTGTGCATTTAAAGAAAACCTAGCATTCTAAAATGTCTCTAATTCCCATATTAGCACTGATATGTTAGGATCATGTGACACTGTTCAACCATCTTCTAAAATGGAAGCAATTTTAGTTAAAATGTTTTGTCTTGCAGACAGTACGAAACAACTGAGATTTGAAGATGTAGTAAATCAATCAAGCCCCAAAAACTGTACAGTGTATTGTGGAGGAATTGCCTCTGGTTTAACAGGTGGGGATGACATTTATGCTCATCAAATTCTTTCTGAAGTGATCTAGCACAAGCATGACTAACAAAATATTACTACTTATAGATCAGTTGATGAGACAGACATTCTCACCTTTCGGACAAATTATGGAAACAAGAGCTTTTCCAGGAAAAGGCTATTCATTTGTGAGGTATGGCTGCTATTTCTCCTTACTTTGAATTTAATGTAATAAAATATTTACAGAATAAATTACTATATATAACCTTGTACTGTATGTATTGTGCTTAAAGAAGAAGAAAATTTGAGCCCTTGTAAGAAACTATGGATATACAATTAGAAGTCAAAAAGAAATTGTATAACACTGGATTATGCCAGTGGAACCTTTTACTGTGCTGCTTAATGGTTCTATGTTAGAAGTTTTTAATGAGTTAAAAAAAATTCATTGGTATTACTTTGCATCTTCCTTTGGGAGTAGTACTATAGTATGTCTTTGATAACATCTCTTTTCATGTTCACGACATCCAGTCTGTTGTAGTGGTTAGAGTTTTGAAATGGGGACTTGGGAATCTGAGTTCTAGTCATCACTCAGCCATGATGTTTACAGGGTGTTTTCAGGCTAGTCATTCTCAGACTAGCCCACAAGGTTGTGAGGATAAAATGAAGTGGAAGAGAACTGTGTAAACAACCTTGATTTCTTTGCAAGCAGAAAATTAGATATTTTTTTGTTTTGTTTCTCAGGTTTTCAACACATGAAAGTGCAGCACATGCTATTGTTTCTGTCAATGGAACAACAATTGAAGGACATGTTGTTAAATGCTATTGGGGTAAAGAATCCCCAGATATGACTAAAAACTTCCAACAGGTAATTGGCATGTTAAATAGTATATTGTAGCATTTGCTACAGTTGCTGCTTACATATGGAATAAAGATGCGAATGCATTATTTTGAAATAAACAATTTCATCCTTTTGCATTTTTCTTTCTCTTCTCTTTTCTAGTTAGTGCTCAGCACTTTCAGATTATCTAAAACTTAATCCATTTTAATTTCCTAGGTGGATTATAGTCAGTGGGGACAGTGGAGCCAGGTGTATGGAAATCCGCAGCAATATGGACAATATATGGCCAATGGATGGCAAGTACCACCTTATGGAATGTACGGACAAGCATGGAATCAACAGGGATTTGGTGTAGAGTAAGTAGTTCCATACCCTCAGATGATAATTTCTCTAGGAATCTAAACTGTGATCTGTATTCTTTGTACCTTATTTGTTGTCAATAGTCATGGTTCAGATGAACATAACTTTTGTCCCGTAAATAGTGTCTTAAATCTGGTAGCAGTATTAATTACACTTTTGTTCATTCTTCTTTGGAGGCTGTGGTTAGTATTCAAGGCTAACTTCTGTCATGCTGTAGGAGTGAGTAGTGGTGAACTGTGTAATTTCATTATAAAAATTAATGTTGCTTAAGGAAGCTATTCTTCCATTGCATGCCAAGGCAGCAAACTTTGGTTTGCTTTTCACTGTAGCTTGCCTGTGAACCAGAAAAGGAGATTCACTGTTGTTCAATAGACTGACAACTAAAAAATATCAGGTCTGAATGTAGCCATAGTCTAAATAAGATGTCTTATATAAATGATGGTGAGAGGTTCTATATGGTCCCTAGGATAATGGAGCCCTTAAGCTTATATTCTGTCCTACAAGCTTTTCAACACAGGCATAAAATCATTCAGCCATATCAGCAAGTTTGGGTGCTGATGAAACATAAGGGATGCCTCTCCTTTCCATCTTCTAATCCCAGAGGTGCTGTGAAATTAAGAACAGATGTGTGAGGATGGTGTTCAGGTAGATGAGGACAGATAAATGTCTTCAGACCGGACTGAAGCGTAGGTCAGGAAATCTGATCAGGATGGAGGCATGCAAGTAGCACTGGATGGTGATTCACACCCCCTAAAGGGCACAATGTACAGTTTGGGAGTACTCCTGGACTCTGCATTCTCAGTGAAGCCACAAGTGAAGTTGGTGGCCAGAAGTGCTTTCTGCCAGCCTTGACTGTTTTGTCAGCTGTGGTGTTACCTATGAAAAGCACACTTTGTGTCTCTGAGACATGCTTTGGCTTGGTTACATCCAGACCAGGTTACTGTCATGTGTTCTGTGTGGAACTGCCAATAAAGTCTCTGGAAGCTTGGTTGGTATACTTTGTTGGAACACTTGTAGATGTTAGGCATTTAGATCACATTACAGCTGTTCTGTGTCAGTAATCTTGGCAGCCTAATTCCGGACCCAATTCTGGTATTGATGTTTAAACACTGAACAGTATAGGAACATGTTTTCTGAAGAATCACATACACATATATGACACTGCTCAGACTTTAACATTAGCATCTGAGGTCCTGTTCTCTGCTCCACTGGTGAATGACAACAGGCTCTTTATTTGACCCTACATCTCAGGAATGCTGGCCTCAGAAAAAATATGTATTGTCCTTGCTTTTCTTTAGATCAGTAAATATTTTTTGTTATTCAGGTCCACATTTGAATAAATTTTTGGTGCTGTGCTTCAGTAAATTAGAACATGAGAAAAACCATGTTGGATCAGACCCAAGGTCCATCTAGTCCAGCACTCTGTACACATGGTGGCACACTAGCTGCCCACATGATGCCTCAGGCAGAATGGGTGCAAGACCACCTCCTGCCCAGTCTCCCAGCAACTGGTGTATTCAGGAATGTCATCTCTAGTAAAGGAGGTGGCACACAGCCATCAAGGCTGGTAGCCATTGATAGCCTACTCCCTCATGGTTTTTTTCAGTCCCTTTTAAAAGCCATCCAGCCATCCCATGGCAGCAAATTCTATAGTTTAACTATATGTTGTGTGAAGAAGTACTTCTTTTGATCTATCCTGATCCTCTCACCAGTCAGCTTCATGGGATGACCCTGGGTTTGAGTGTTAAGGGAGAGGGAGAAAAATGTCTCATTCTCTACTTTCTCTACACAGTGCATTATTTTAAACACGTATAAGTTGTTTTATAGGCTGCTGTTATGTTTTAGTATTTTAATATTATGGAATTCTGTTATCTGATTGTGACATACAGGTCTGTAAAGCAGCTTGTGACAGAGACCAGTAAATGTGTCTTTAAGTGTTCTTTCTTAATTAAGAATGTCTGTTGAGTCCAGAGAGTCATTAGTTTTTCTCCTAATACTCTTGAAGCTACCTGAGACTGAGAACAGCATGCAAGGTGCTATGCTACAGCACTTACATGTTAAGGATAGCTATGGGAATAAAATGGCTAAACTGAATAATCTGCATATTATTGTTGCATTGCATTTATATCCTGCCTTTTTTTCTCTTGCAAAAGGAACTCAAGGCAGTTTACGTAGCTCCATTTTATCCTCACAACAGCAACCATATGAGGAAGGGGGCTGAGAGTCTGAGAGGCCCAAAGTCACCAAGTGAGCTTCGTGGCTGAGTAGAGACTAGAACCAGAATTTCCCAGGTTCCCAGTTCAACACTCTTAACTACTGCACCACTTTTTCATTCTTTATATTCAGATAGAGACACTATCTGTAATACCTTATGTTTTGGTGGCAGGAGGAGTACTGTTATCAGACGTTGTTTAGCTACCAATAAATAACATTCTTTTGTCTTGTTTTTTCTTAAAGACAAACACCTTCTGCAGCCTGGATGAGTGGATTTGGTGCCCAGCCTGCGCAGGGACAAGCTGCTCCTGTAATACCTAATCAGGCTGGATATGGTATGGCAAGTTACCAAACACAGTGAGCTGGGACTCTATTTAGAAGTGTGATTTCAAGATAGGTTTCAATTTCCAGTGATTATTCTGAAGACTGGAATATAGACATTGGCGGGGGGGTGGGGGTGAGGAAAAGAGAATATTTATTTTGAAAATTGAAAATGTTTGGAACCTTTAGCACAGCAGTTGCTTTGTTGAAGGACACAAATGTCTTCTAGTTATGCGTTTTTAAGTTTTGTGTTCATGATGAATATGAACATGTTTTCTTTATGTACAAAATTTAAAATAAAGTCAATAAAGACAATTCTGACTTCAAATGTTGGTATGTTAGGAGGAAATGTTTAAAAATCTGATTCTTAGATTACCATTCCATTTTTTTGTCTTCAGTGTTTTACATCACAGACTTTAAGAAAAATGACATAAAAGATGCTTTTAGTTGAACATTAAATCCTGACGTTTTGGCTGTGGACCAAACATTACATCAAAGGAAGACAGTATTTTCTTCAATAACCACAAAACCATCATTCAGAAGACTTATTCATGGAAATAGAGTTTTTAAAATTTTTCTATACGTTTTGAAGAAACTAAAACCTGGTATAAATGTTTTCAGTCTTTGGTAAAAAGCAGTACTGTCTGCAATACTTGAGCAACACTTGTTATCCACATACCTAGGAGCATATTGTTTAAATCTAGTTTGCTTGAAGTGCAAAAATGCCTTTAATTTTAGGAAGCATTTTTACACTATGGTGCTTAGGCAGTCATACTTAGACTTTTACACTAGTTTGTACCTAACTGCAATGTTACAAAAGCATGTTCAAACATAAAAGTAGCAATGTAATTATTCAGAGTAATACTTAATATAATCTACTGCATTGTTTGCAGTAGATTGACAAGAATGTGCAAGACTGACATTTCCAAAGTTGGCTACTATGTAAAATGAAAAATTACTACACAAAGAGCCTTAATTTTAAATTCATAAATCTTTAATTCATGTTGTCAGTATAAATCTGAATTTTGTTTTGTTACTCGATATGTAAATATTTGGTTGACAACCTTGTATACCTACTTGAAGGTTTCTATAAGTTGTATAGTACCTGAGTGTTTAAAAAATCCTAGGATTTTTTAAAAACCTAGAAATACTTAGCTCAAGATTTTTTAAAAAACAAGATTGTTGAAATACTTATTTTAGAATTTCCTCAATGTGCCATTTGGTTAATCGAAAATGCAGTTGAAACAAGTATACTGAGTTGTGGTTTATTCTTTTTATTCTTAGTTACATTGTTAGTTTTTGTTTTGGTTGGTTTTGGGTTTTTTGTGTTTTGGGGTGCCTTGCATGTGCTGAATCTGTACAGAGGCTGGGGTCTTTGTGCACTGAGTATTATTGGGATAAATCATGAATATGTTCAAATTGTATACTTGGGTTATTTTTCATCTACTTTCTGGATACACTGACACAATTGCCTCACTAAATTTAAAGTTTAAAATGAATGTAAGATAGAAGAACTGAGTTACCTATGACAGTTAGGTGGTCCAGATGCTTCATCACTGAATCTAGACATGCTGAAGCCATCCACTGGGCTGAATAGTCTATTCCATTAATAATAAAAATACACCTGCATTTTTATGGACTCCAGTTATGGGAAACTTGCATATTTATTTTGTTAATTTAAACATCAATGTTAATAGGCTGTTATAACAGAAGTTTCACATTACAGCTCTAACACAATTTGAAAAAGGCTTCATGTGTTCACTGGTTAAGAAGGTCATATATTTTGTTTTGGCTAAACTAATAGCACCTTGCTTTTTGGACAACACTGATGGGCAAGGGTTTTTTTGTGATTCTGGAAAGTGCCTCCTTTGGATTGTCTGTGGAGGAGTCAGTATATTGCTCTTTTTCCATACATAAGCATCTTTCTTCAAAGTCCGTATACAAGCCTCAATATAACTTGAGGGGAATAGACTGAAAGGTTTGGGGTTAATGTTAGGGTTCGGGAAGATACTTCATTAGTACAACAGAAGGGGCCTTTGCCTGATTTTCCTGCTTCTGCACAACAACCTACTTCATTCAGTAATGCCCTCTGACTCTTACAGGAGCATTTTTAGGGAGTTCTTTGACCAAAAAGGGGTAGGAAAGTCAGGACTATGAGTGTATATGTTAGCATCCTTCCAAGAGTTAATGTGTGACGATTTAATGCTTTGAAAATAAATGGTTGCTTTCTTAAATGTTTCAACAAGAAAGTCAGGAATTTTTTTTCTTTTGGCAGCAAAGAGCTTTTGATGCCACTTTTATCCCACCTCCTTTTTACTCTATGTTATAATTAACCTGTTTTTAAGACTTCAAGAGACCAACCACTACTCCACCTCATACTACCAGGATATGGAACACTGATGAAAAAAATCATGGTACTATAAGTACGTACATGTAGATTTTAGTCAGCTGTTTAAATAAACAAAACATTGAGTTTTTGCCACATTTTCAGATACATATTGTAGTCAATCTATGTATATATCTGAATTGTGAACCACCCCCAGAGAGATTTGGCTATTGAGTGTACAGGAATGAAAATACTGTTGCTAACTCTAATACATTGCCAGCAAAATTCTTAAAAGTTTGTATTCCTTATCATAGTAATTAATCTATTTTGTTGGATTATTTGTTAGAAAGATTAATCCTTATGCTCCGTGTATATGTCTATTCACCAAGGAATTATTTTAATCTGGTTCTCCTGGGCAGCTCTCAATCTATCCTTCAAACCAAGATAAAGGGTCTTGCTCAAGGGAAAAGGGTCTTTTGTCTCTCTTGTGCTTTTTGAGTAGGCCTTGTATGCATGTTGTGAAGTAGAACTGATATAATCTCTCTGTTTGGATTCTTTGAGAGAACCCTACCTCATGCTGTGTATGTTTCTCAAATAATGCATGTGTATAGTACCAGAAACATTTTACAAATTTGATACACTTAAACATTGTATACTTTGCTGGGTGCAAAGGTGCTGCCTGTGGCCAGCTCTGAAATAGGATCATATTTCAAACGGTTATTCTATACTTTATTGATAAATGTGCATTGCTAAAGCTCATGTAATTTTTTGTAAAGCTGGCAGCTCCCGTATCCTCCTCCAAAATATTGGGCTTAGGTGGGAAAATGAGGTCAAGAAATGCAGACTGTGTATCAAGTTCTTTTGCATTAATGTTTCTACATCTTTCCTAGCTTTTCAAATTTCTCTTTATTTTTAAGAACACCAACACCAGAACCTGCAGAATTACTTAGTTATATAGGAAACAATTGTTCAGAATTTTCTGTGTGTATTTGTTTTTTGGTAATGTCAGAAGTAAATTGGTAATGCCTGCCTTTCTCTTTGGTGACACTGTAGAGCTAAGCAACAGGAAGCAGAACTGCATATATTTGAGACATAACTAGGATCCAGTTCATGTAAAGCAGAAAACAGGATGAAGAAAAACAAGTTATCTTCACTATATTGAAAGCTAAAGGCAAGTGGCAGAAAGGTTAAGTAGAAAAGCACAAGGTTCCACCCATAGTGACCGGAAATATTTTACTTGCAACTTCATAGTGAGAACCATAGAACCAAGAATTCATAGTCAGAACCAAGAATTTAGGACTGTTTTAAATACTCTGGAAGTTTGAGTTGTCAAGACTGTTCTTAGCTGATGCTTTGTTCAGGTATTCCTCTAGTATACTGGAGCGTATTACTGCAATCTTATTACTACAGGCTAATTAAACTACTGTTGCTACTAACCATAGGTTTAAGTGATACTTCTTCAAACAGGACTTGTCTCCCCATACTCTGGCCAGCCCACTGCTCCTGTCTCCACTGAGGCTTCTGGATTCCCTACACCAGGAACAGCAGTCTTCCATGCTACTGCCAAGCCCAGCTGCAGGGCCCTTGCATAGTGGACCCGTAGTGTTGTACGCGTAGCCATTCTTGGGAGCAGAGGCCCATGAGCCCATGATAGTACAAATGGGCCCTTCAGCTTATTGTTGAGAGGAACTGCGAGTGCCAGTTCCTACAGCTGTGCTGCCAGTGCCTGCAGCTCAATCACCAGTTCCTGTAGTCCAGCCATTAGTTCCTACCTGCCAGCCACTTGCCCATGCCCAGTCCATCCCATCTCAACTGCCTTCCTCACTGATCCATCCTCGTCCTCATATCCACCTGATTATGCATCTGATTCTAATGTTCTGCTGCTCTACAATGACGTAGGGACAACATTGCCTGAAGATGTCATCTCAGCACAAGGTCCAGTATCCTCCTCCGAAGTCCTGGGAAGGTTCTCCAAACAGATCCTCCTGATGATGATGATGTTGTGTGGGCTGGGGACCAAACAACTCAATGAACTAGTCTACAACATAATCTGGATGGAGGATATGGTGTCGATAGACATTCCATTTCTTCCAACACTCCTCCACTCCATGAAGAAACTGTGGAAGCATACTGGCATACCTGCAAACAATGTTTCACTGATTGGAGAGCCTATACTGGGTACAGGAGAGGGACATCCTGTTCCCACTAGACAATCTGCAAACAAATTTTGTCGTCTTATGGCAGAGGGTCGGGTGCAAAGGGAGCACACCACCCTAGTGGATTGAGAGGGACACCATTTGGATGACATGGCAAGGAGAGTCTACGTGATAATGGCACTGAGCCTTCACATTTCAAACTACAAGATATCAAGTCTTCCATTGGGAGAAAATGGGTGCCCTAGCTGAGTTCCTTCCAGAACATGATGAACTGACTAAGGTGTTCCATGCCAAGGCCCTTAGGCTGTCTAGGCAGCAGATTAACACTGCTCATCACCAAGTCGACTGACTCCAGAGCCCTTGTCTGCATGGTGGTGATCCGGCGACATGACTGGCTCCAGGCAGTGAACCTTTCACAAGAGGCTTGGTTGTTGCTTGAAGAGCTGCTCTTGACAGTGAGGGACTCTTCAGTGCCCTGACTGATGAAAAGCTGGACAGCATCCAGAAGGCCAGGAGAATGTCAGGGAGGATGGCTTTCACGCCCTCACAGTCATCAAGGGCACGTAAGTGAACTTTGGGCGCAGCCTCTTTCCAGAGACAGGGCCAATACCACCAGCTTGCATGCTGGCAGCAACCATCCCAGCCATTCTAATGGGACATCTCATATTTCCAGCAGTCCAACAGGAAAAAGCTGAATACCAAGAGGTGACACCATTGACTGTTGCAACAGACCAACCCCACTCTATTGGCACAAATATAGTTCAAAGGACTCCTTACCATCTACTTTCCCAAATGGGAAGCCATAACATAAGATGAGTAGGTTCATTGTGGAGAGCAGATACCATGTAGAATTCAGCACTCTTCTACCTCTTGGGACCATACACCCAGCATCATCCTGTCCTGGTGGAGGTTATGACACTTCTGTTGAAGGGAGTGATCCAACCCATTCCGCCATCTGATCTTCATTATGCTTTCTGTTCACAATATGTCACCATTCCCAAGGACAGCAGCCTCCATCTCATTTTAGACTTGCAGAATATGAACTTTTTCATTTCCCTCAAGAAGTTCTGCATGGTGTCCCTGCTGCTTTTGCTGCTGCACCAAGGTGACTGGTTCTCCTCAATCAATAGCAAATGCTATTTTGGGATGCAATAACAGATGTATTACTTCCAAATCACGAGAAGTAGTAGTTCCTCTATACTCCTCACTAGTCGGACCTCACCTGGAATACTGTGTCCAGTTCTAGGCACCAAGATTGAAGAAAGATGCAGGCAAATTAGAAAGGGTCCAGCGAAGGGTGACAACAATGATCCAGGGTTTGGAAACGCTGCCCTATGAGAAGAGACTGAGCGAACTGGGCATGTTCAGCCTTGAGAAGAGAAGCCTGAGGGGGGACATGATAGCCCTCTATAAGTACCTCAAAGGTTGTCACAAAAAGGAAGGTCAGGATCTATCTATTCTATCTATCTATCGATTTATATCCTGCCTTCTTCCTACAAAGGGCTCAAGGCAGCTTACATCATTCTCCTCCATCTTATCCCCACAACAACCCTGTGAGATAGGTTGGGCTGAGAGTCTGTGACTGTCCCAAAGTCACCCTGTTGGCACCATGGCTGAACGGGGACTAAAATCCAGATTGTTTGAGTCCCAGTTCCATGCTCTACACCACACTGGCTCTCTTCTTGCTAATGTTAGAGTGTAGGACACAGAATAATCAGTTCAAGTTGTGACAACCCAGATTCATGCTGGACATCAGGAAAAGCTTCCTTACTGTCAGAGCAATACTACAGTGGAACCAGCTGCCTAGAGAGGTGGTAGGCTCTCCCACTCGGGAGACATCCAGAAAGAAACTGGACAGCCATCTGAGTGGAATGGTGTAACATGGTATCCTGCAACAGCAGGGGGTTGGACTTGATGGCCTTCATGAGCCCTTCCAACCCTACTATATGATTCTATGAATCTGAAGGATGCATATTTTCATGTGTCCATTCATCTGGACTACTAACATTTTCTCTGGTTCTCAATTGGGACTGATGCTTCTCTACAGCCCATGTATCTTTACCAAATGTATGGCCATGGTGTCTGCCCATCGCAGGCTACAAGGAATCCAGGTTTCTCCTTAACTAAAAGACAGGCTACTGGTGTCTCCATCCCTGGAAGATCTCTGGGGCTTCATCTGGGACACAAGGGATCTCTTAGACACATTATGACTATGTATTAACACCAAGAAATCTGTGCTTTTTTTCTTCCCAGTTGATTCTCTACACTGGGGTGGGGCTAGATTTCATGACAGCATGCACTTGCCTTCCTGTGGACAGAATGGCAACGCTGGTCAGTTTGGCCATCCAGATCCTGATCGAGCCCAAGACCTGTGGTGTGTACAATGACTGCTGGGTTTCATGGCAGCAACTATTGTGGTTGTCCACATTGTGAGGCTACAGATGCGGCTGCTGCAGATGTAGTCTGTTCAGTGCAGAAGTGGTTGGTACTCCTGCATTCCATTTGGGCGAACCTGTCCTCCTTACCCCTTGAACACAACCTGGCAGACAGGATTGCTTTTATGCCCAGAGAACTGGACCTGACCCTGACAACAGATGTGTCTGGGATGGGAGGTGCCCTGTGCCAGCAGAAAAAATGCATGGACTGTGGACCAGGTGCATCACATCAATTACCTCAAGAGAATTGTGATCCAGAAAGCAGTTCTGGCTTTTTGGTTCCTGCTGAGAGGAAAACATGTTCAGGTTGCCTTGGACAACACTGCAGCGGTGTTCTACCTGAACAAAGAAGGCAGCACATGGTCTGCTTCCCTGACCAGTCTCATGGTGCAGATCTGGGACTGGTGCCTGAAATGGGACCTTACCATTGTGGCTATCTGTTTGGCCAGGACTGACAATGTCATGGCAGACACTCTGAGCAAGAGACCCAAGGAGACCCACAAATGGCAGCTACATCCAACAATCTGAAGCAGCTCTTCAAGACCTGGGGACCCCAACTGTGGACCTTTTTGTCATGTCGAACAATGCATTGTGAAAGGCTTTCTGCTATTGTTTCAGGGTTGGTTGGGAGAACCTGTTCCCACTGTTCCAGCTAATCACCAGTGTGCTAGCCAAGATCCAGAGAGGGAACAGCTCCTGCATCCTTGTGACTCCATGACGGCCCAGACAGGCATGGTTTGCCCACCTCCTGTACCTGTTGAATTGCACCTTCATCCACCTCCCAACAAGACTGGATATCATTCAGGACCAAGCGATGATCCTGCACCAATCAGTGTCCAATGACTCGCTCACTGAATTAAACTGGCCTACCAACTGGCTTTACTTCACCTTCCCAAATAGCCAAAAGTGCATTCTACCAGGACGATGATGACATCTACCGTATGATATTGCATACCAGCATCCTATTGCAGGACCTCTGCAGAGTAGCAATTTGGTCAACTTTTGTTATGCATTACCAACACAATGTCCACACCAGGCAAGATTGCTCTTTTGGCTTTGCGGTCCTCCACTGACAGCAACACCTCTCCTCCATTTTGGGGTAAACTTGCTAGTTACCCATATGTGTGATGCAAAGCGATGAAGAAGTAAGTAAGGTTGCTTACCTTTGGTCATCTATGCAGTTAGTGTTGACAGCTTTCAGTTTCTATACCTTCCTACTTTCAGACCTGTACTGGGATGGTGAGGTTGGACCATTACCAGCTCTTCCGAGTTCTGAGGCCAAAATGTTGGTTTCCTAGGAGCTAGGGAAAATGGCGAGAGCGCCACCTTTATGTATTAGGGGAAGGGAGAGGAGGGGCTCCTGCCAAAATAAGCTTAGCTAGGAAAAGCTTCTCAACAAGAGGCCCTGCTCAGGTGCAGAGCCCATATGAGTGTGAATGCACAGATGACAACTCGAATTTCAGTTACATGTAAGCAACCTTACTTTCTCTGTCCTGTGCACTTACAGCTCTTGCAGATGATAGGTTATTTTGCCTAAGTTAGCTGTTAATTAGTTCTATGAAGTGGGAATCTGAGACAAAAAAACATTAATCCTATGTAATAACAATCAGAAGTGTGGACAAGGTTGTAACTGCAGGTACATCCTGCTCTGAGTATACTAATTGGAATGAATGGATCTTAAATTAGATCAGTACTGGATAGAACCTACTATGACTTCCTTTCTCAATGAAAATATAGACTGGGCTCACATGCCACACTAAGCCACCTGGCAAATAAGCCAGGGTGTTTTGCTTGCCAAACTACCTACAGTGCCTGCCAGGCTCACTGTAGATTATTCTTGCCCTTCTCCCTCACCCTCCTTCCCACTTCAGCAAGTTTTCCAGCATGTTTTCCTTCATGGCAGAATGCATTTTTTCACCCCCATCCCTGCTCTGATCATTACCCTTTTTTCAATTGCAGCTGTACAATTTTTTAATTATAATTTTTTCAGAGCCTCAGAAAACACAGTTGGGTTTTGTGAGCTGTTTGACCCTTGAAAAATGTACAACATTTTACAAATACTTTTTGTCTTTCAAAACTGCAAGCTTACAGCTGTTGAATACACTGTGTAGTCTTGCATGGTTGATTTCTTTGTCTACTTAAATTGTCAAAGGGATGACAATGTAAGACTGCACACAGGCTAATTTTTGCAAAGTTACCACAAGCCAGTTACCATGTCCTAGTCAAACGGGGGGGGGGGGCAGCAAAAAGGGGCAGGAACATTATCATTTCCTTGGCAAAGTAACCCCACAGCTTCAGCTGTTGAACTGACAGTTCTCAGTGTCTCCAACTTTTGAACACTTTGCAGTCTTCAGCTACTCTGGAAAGGGAAGTTCCTCCCCCCTCCCCCCAACAGCATTTGGAGTTGTTGCAACTTTGCAGATTTATCCTCCATTTACTTTCAAGATTTAAATTGGTTCCAACTTCCCCTGTGCTTACATCCCAGCCATTAGATTTAAATATATTTCTGCTGACTCTTTAAACAGGGAACTGAAGTAACCACACCAGTTGCAGCTCCAAAAAAGTCTGCATAAACTTGGGGGAATTAGTATCAAGGAAATTGACCAGGCAAAAGGCTACAGAAATTGAATAGCTGTAAGTGCACACTTGCTCAAGAATGAGAAAATATTTTAAAGCTGAGGAACAAGTAACAGTCCTCCCAAAGAAAGAACAGTCAGACTCGAATGTGTGCACATGTGTGGTGAGACAGGAAGGAATCACTGTGGTTGCTGGGTGCCTCTGCAGCTGTTCCCACGAACACATGATGTCCTCATGAATATCAGCAACGCATCCCCCCAAACAAGCCTTGGGTTCTTGGGGTAGCTTCTACATGAAAATTTAGCTTCCCTGTAGAAACTGCACTAGGTTTGCATGACATAACAATGCATTATAGCTGGATGCCTATGATGGCTTCTCCTGTCATCTTGAGCATCATTTCCTTGGAGGAAAGACAGAATATGAATTGAGAGTGTGCATGGGTTTACCCATCTCCCTACCTCTCAGCCCACGTACAGGATCTTATGGTGGCAATAAATTAATGAAAACAAAATACAAAAGATATTTTAAAAAATCTAAACCCATGCTGTAGTGAAAAATTTCGGCCAAGTAGAAACATTCCCCTGCACAGTTTTTACCCATTTCATATACAAATGTTGAAGTGTAATTCTCAGCAGTGAGAGGTGATCTTTCCTTTGGGTGGGGAATATCTGCAACAGGGGTGCAAATTTCCAGTAAAAGTGTTCTGAGAAACATGCCCCATAACCAGAGTCCAAGACAGACAGATTGAATACTGCAAAAAAAATTGTTCTTCCTGATCATTCTTGGATTTGTGTAGATGACTGATTCTCCCACTTGTCCATCATTCCACTCTGATTTGGGAAGAAATGCTCCTTTATTCCCTGTGTGATTGGCTACAGGTGTTCTTTTAGTATTTTATATTTTAATGACTGTTGCGTTAAGGCCCCAATTTGCAGGTCCTTGTATGTAGCAGCAGAAAGCTGGTCCTTCCATGGAGATATTTATCACTTCATTGGGAGGCCATCTTCAGGTTTTGCTGAGGAACAAATAGCTGGTGCTGCATTGATGGGAAGGACCAGGCTTAGTTTAGAAGAGGGACTTGAACCCAAAACAGGGAGATACTAAGCTAGCCAAGGAGGGAAATTCCATATAGAGGATGCCGCCACAGGAAATGTTTGGAGTCATGAAGCTTGTTAAACTCATCCAAGTGGGTTTACATTTAGCTTACTAGAATAGTTCTCAGGGTGTGCCTGGTAATCAGGTTGATTTCAAAAGTATTTTATTTGATGGCACTGGAACCAGGTGCTCAAAGAAAGAAAAAAATGAAGCTAGTACAAGCTTCTTGCATCAGCCTAAGCAGCATTTTGAATCCTGGCGCAGAGAGCATGCAATAGGCAAAGTGGTTTACCTATTTATGGTTATTTCTCTTAGCCAGTCCAGTTAGGTAACAATGTCAGAACATATTGAATACTAGCTATTCTACCTACAGATTTAAGTATTACAGTATTTCCTGTCCAAATACTTGTACCTCACATGAGAAATAGCCAAGATGAAATAAATGGAGTTAATTGACTTCCCTGCTATGCTGCATGGGTGTCTCTACCCAAACTACAGCAAGTTGGTGAAGAAAGGACATGGATTTGTAGTTCCTGAAGATATGGAGTTATTTGTATTTATATTATGTGCCATTACTTCTAGTCTGACATTCCCTCTCTAAGCAAAGGTTGCTCAAAATGGCATCAAAAATAGTCCGTTAAAATTCAAAAAATGGCTTGGTGCCTAAGGTCTTGCCAGCTTGTATCATTAAAGTTACCAGATATTGAAATTACTCTTGACATTGAAATTTGGCTACTCTGTATGAAGAGAGAGAGGGGGGTGTTTTGTGTGAAAAAATATTACACCAAGAGATTATACAATCTGTAGAACTGAGAACCTGAACTATCCTCTCTTTTTCTCATGTAAAGATTACTAATACTTTGAGAGGTTTGAGTTTGGTAAACACAGGTTTTTTGACAGAAATATTTTGTGGGTTTGAATTCTTAACATCATGTTTTACTACAGGGCGGCAAAGCAATAAAAGCATCTTTGTATTCATTGCAGTTTTGGCAAACTTTCCTTTTTTAAAAGCTTTCCAGGAAGATTCATGCTGGACTGTATAAAGAGGCCATGGATGCAAAAAGATTTTAAAATATTTAGAGTAAGAAGCTATTCTCAGTTTATACAAAGAAGCAGTGATGGATTTCTCCTGGCTTATGGCCTTCACACAGTATATGGTGTGGAATCACATTGCCTAGCCATCAAGTAAGCGGTACACAATCCTGAATTCAGCAAGACTGGCTTCCAAACAACCCTGCTTTTGGCTGGGCTATATTTCATGCTAATCAACTACTTACATTATCTGGGGAGTTCCTGAAGTCACTAACTGAGGACTTTTTGAATTAGGTGAACCTTCATACTCATGTGGATCTTTACAGATAAGTGCTTGTCAAGGAGGCAATCTGGAGCCCAAATGGAGATTACACAACTTATCATATACAACTGAGTAAGTATATAATGGCTGGTAAATTTTAGGGTTAAGGTTACCTATCATGTCGTGCTAAATTTAATTGCAGTCTTCTGGTGTAGAGAACTCACAACTAACCTGTTTGTGGTGTGTTCTAAGAGTATACCAACCCGAAGAATTGTTTTGTAAGCTCACTGGAGTACCTGTACATAATTCCCATTACAACAACATGTTGAAGCTGACTGTTTAGCACACATCTTACAACTTAATGTTCTTTCCACCAGAACAAGTTAGGACCATAGAGATATAAAGGATTCATGGCTTGATCTGAATTAAAAACTAGCCTTGGCCCTGCCTCTATGGAAGCAGAAAAGGGAGTCACTCTATCCTTCAGTAAAAATCTCCATATACCTGGCAGTGGCAACTACACTGCCAAGTAGGGCACTCTAACACTGTAAGGGCTGGTAACAACTGTACTGGGTATGCAGCCCATGAGAAGGACTATCCTATGCATGGCATGTGCCCACATCCTACCTTTCTAAAGGTCTTCCTCGGTTCTTCAGATGAGGGCTGTTCCTGCCTTGTTCCATGTTCATCTTGTAGCTTGGTTTGTTGCTGTTTGCTTACTAGTGGCCTATTGGTGGGCATTCAGGGCTCCTCAGACCAGGCAGTTTCAATTTAAGCATTCCACTTGCTGTCTAGGTGATCGGAGGAAGAGAGGTTAGTGACTGAATTATGCTGGGACTGAAGCAAAGCAAGCCTCACTCTCCCAGTCTAGCTTCAGGGTATTGCAGGGAATCCTATTATAATTCCACCTTTCTGGATTCTTCCCTAGAGCATGCAAATGGCAGCAACTGCTCTCCTCTTCTCTCCTCTTTGTTGCTCTAGGGCCTAGGCAGCCTGTTTAGCCTTTTTTCAGAGGTGGGCTAGGGGTATCCTCCCAGCCTCCCCATTCCTTTCAAGAGTTTTGCCTAGAGGCCTACTTTAGCAAAATGGATGATACCAGGGCACCTGGCATAATAAATTCAGATTAATGTGTGTGTGTGCATGAGAGTGCAATTTTAAACAAGATTTCAGTCTGAATCATGCTCATTTGTGCCACTGCAGTCCCCACATTGTAAGGAGCCAGTGACCATCACTCCAGAGTGCCATTTGGCATCAGAGGAATGGCTGGCCGTGGCATGGGGCTCTGGCAAAAGAGTGCACGCTGCAGATGCAAAGGGGCCTCTGTTGGAGCACTGAGGGGAGGCATGATGGATCCTGCTATGCAGCACCCTGGGCTACTTGCCTACCAGCTGGAGGGATGGAGGAAAGAATCGGGAGAAGAAAAACCCAAGGTAAGCCCAGTCCGTCAGGCACACTGTGGGTTATTCCATGAACAACTCACCTTCTGTGACATGAAGATTTACAATAAAATTAAAAGTGCATGATGTATAACAACTACAGCAAGTATCCAGAGCTGATGTCCATGTTCCCATAGTTCTTGTCCAGTGGTAGATTCATACTTGTATGTTAGAGACTTCAAAGTAAACTCCAGCCAAAAGAGCCAAAAGGAAGCTTTGTAAAAGTGTTGTTGGTGGCATTCTTTTATCATGCTTCGTATGCAAACACAGGAAATGCTTTTTAATAATAACATGTAGACATTTTAAAAGGAAGGAAAGAGGAGAAATTAGTTGAAAACTGACTTCTCTAGGTCATATTTTATCTACTGTTGGTTTGACCCACAGACATAATGGCAATATGTATAAGAGATCAGTAAGTTCTCAACTCCATTTTAATCCCCATAACAACAGCCTTGTGAGGTAGGTTAGGCCGAGAGTCCATGACTGGTCCAAAGCCACCCAATGAGCTTCATGGCTGAGTGAGGACTAGAACCCGGATCTCCCAGGTCCCTAGGCTAACATGGCTATTATAGAGGAATGCCCTACCAGAATACATTCAGGAGATATTCTAAAATTTACAAGAGTTATTTCCACACTGCACTGGAGTCAGTAACAAGAAGAACTGAAAGCATTTCTTACCTGCAGAGGATCTGGAATGTTGAAATGATCAGTTCCACGGCTGCATGTTTTAATTTTTTCCACAATATCTGCATGCATTTGTTTTATGTTACGACACTGAGTTTTTCTATACTCAACTTTTAAGTCTCTACAACTTTTTGGATATTTTAGATTACTGACTCTGCTTTCTACAATTTGATACATTTGTGATATACACAGTTACTTTTTATGTTATCTAAATAGAATGTTATCTGCCACAGCAGTGCTAAGCCCTGGGTCTAACCGCACTAAAGGCGGTGGGACTTGCTTCTGAGTAAACATGCATAGGGTTGCATTGTTAGTCTTAGTTTAACTACATAGGTGAATTGTTTTGTGGAGGGTGACAATTACACTGTACAACCATGGTACACATAACTTGAAGCTTGTGGAAAGGGAAAAAGTAGGCTGAGGAAAGAACTGTACCAGCACCACTGTGCAAATACTGGAACCCTGTTATGCTGGCTAGTATATGTGGATAGAAGAACTTTGTATTCCTTGCAGTTACTAAGCTACATTAAGTTTCTGTGTTGTAATCTCTTGCAAAATAAAACATCTGTACAAGCTCCGTATAAACCACTTGGGAGATGTTAATCCAAACCATCTATTTGGAACACTCAATATAATTAGTGACTTTGAAAACCTACTCTGCTGATGATCTTGCTGTTTGCAAAATGATCCTTCTATTTAACTTGTCAGATGTTGGTTTGGGGAGCAAAAAAAAAAAAAAAAAAAAATTCTCCATACAGGCACACAAATATAATTTTTTAAAGAATCCTGAACTCCTATACTTGCCTCATCACACATTGTCATCACTGTGTTTTGCATATATCCTGTCTCACACTACTGCCATTTAATAAATGATCGTTTTAGAGATAATAAAACACAATGATTCTTAGTAAACTGACCTGTGGGAAGTTTCAACAACAAGAAATTTGGCAAATATTATTTATTTATTATATGTAGCACTGAAATGTAATAAAAGCCTTAACTAGAGATCATTTGAATGATATGGAGGTGGATGCAGGCAGAGTACCGATTTTAAGGGCCCTCGGGTAAGACAACATAAATGGCCCCACCTTTAATGACTCTAGCTTCTCACCACTGTGGTCACCAGCTACTATTTCTTCTCCTCCTCTTTTCACCACTACTACCCTTTGCTTGCTGGACAGGCAGAAAGCTAGTGGCATTCAAAGCTAGGTGATCCAGACCACTGCAGAGATGAGGAGAAGAAGAAAGTCCAGAGGGCCCTTGTCTGCCTGCAACTCCTGGATGGTCTGCTTCAACAAGTGCTTTACTGTGCCTGCCTTTGATTCTATCCCTATTCATGGGAAAGAGCAAAACAGGAAAGTTGCTTAGAAATACGAACCACAATAGAAATGTTGCAATCATTTTAAATAATAGAAGAATATGACTGTTGCAATTTATGGTTGCTTCCTTTGTGCTCTTTTCCATGTTAATATTCACCAACAAGACAAAGTTTTCCTTATGTAGATTTGCCCTCTCATAATGCTAATCTCATTTCAATCTCTTTAAATTTATAATGCTATCTGGATCAGGGAAGCTACTTATAAATTTCCAGCCATGAAGGTATGCATCACTACAAAAAACAGGAGGAAAGGGACACAAACTTGTATATAGTAATATATATATATATATGTATGTATATGTGTGTGTATATATATATATATGCGCATAAATGCTAAAAGAGACATATCTGCTGTTACTAAAATACAAATACAGCACATCCCAGCATACAGCCAAAGACTGATGCAGTGACCTGTATGCCTGAAGATTCAGTCAACCACCCACGTGCTAACTGTTGTTGGTAACAGGTCTCACAATGACCTTTGAACTGGAATTGGACAGCACAGCCCCTCAAATGGAATGCCTTCATGTAGAGGATTGTCCTCTGGCAGCCCGTCAAAAAGAAGATGGTTCTCTGTAAAGGTGGACACACAGTCACCTCCAAAGCTCCAGACAAAAAGGTGGGCCTAAATCCATCTGTTCCAACCCAAGATGGCACAGAAGAGAAGAAAAGCCTATGTGGCAAAATAATGGTTATGCTAGTTTTAAAATTACTCATGTGCTGACATTTCACATTAAAAGATGCCTTAATATCCAGTGGGGTGAACCAGATGGATTTAGGTTCTACCTTTTTTGTTCCGAGATTTGGCTTAGTGAGGTGATCCATATAATTAATTGCTAGAATTAATAAAAGCAGGGTGTGGATATAAAGATAGGAAGAAAACAGAACAATCGCATGACAGCACCTGAATTTGTGCTAAAGAATACTGATTTTTTTCCATAACAAAGGGATAATCCATAACAAAGGGATACCCTCATTCCAAGATCAAGAAGTTGTCTGGCTCAAGAGTTCACTAACATACTGAAAGGACATAGCTCAATCACTCCATCTTATTTATTACCATACATTCATATACATTTCCAATAAAAATATCACAGCAGTGAATGCAATAATAACGCTCAGCAAGGAAACTTTAACTATACTGTAGTCACATGTCAAGGAAAGCTTACATAAAAACATATCAGACTTCTAAAAATCAATAGTCTCGCTGTCTGTCTAATGTTAATGGAGAACATGGTCCAGAGAATGGATGCTTTATCAGTTGATACTCTACTGTAATCATTTATGCCTGTGGCACCCTTGGAAGTACTCTTTCTGAGGATCATAAAGACCAGCAGGGATGGAACGGATGAGGCTTTCACTAAAGAAAATTGAACCCAAGCTGTTTAGAGCAGGAGTACCTAAGTCTGGAGGATCCAGGAACCATTTTCACACCCTGCTCTTCCCCTGATAAGCTGTACCATGGGGTGCCAGGATCAGTGGCAAAATAGATTGGTGGTCTGCTGTCAAAATTGAGTAGTAAACTAATAGATTAATTAGTTTAGTAATTAAGTCAAATTTAGTTTGGAAACAAGTTATACATGACCTAGTTATCACTCTGTGATATTCAGCCTTTTTTGCTCCTGCTAGTTATGGCTGCAGCATTGAAATGTTGTCCATCCCCAGTTTAGGATTTTACTTAACCACAAAACCTTAAACTAAGTTTGTTTATATGCAGCACTTTTAGTAATTTTAATAGAGGGGTATCATGTTGTCCTTTGTGAGTGCGTGCGGTGTGCTTCCTGTTTTTGGCTAATGTATGTAATGACCACTCCAGCAAACACTGAAAACTGGATTTTGATGTTGCTAATTCCTTAAACCATTTAAAAGAATATCATGTTGGACTTTTTAAAAAGCATGTTCATCCCTGGGAAATGAAGCAAAATGGTTGGATGTGCTCTCTTTCTCTCCCTCCCCTCCTGTTGTACATACAATTAATTGAATGACATTTCCAGAGAATTCAAGAAGTATCATGTGCAAAGCCATTACTATAGTGTTATATTTTCCCGTTTAATTTTCTCCATCTCGCCACTCATTTTCTGTTTCCGACTTCTATAGTAAGCTACATAGAATAGGATAGGCTTTTATTTTGTTAGTGCATATTATAAACATGATTAAATAACTGTTAAAATCCATTATCTTGCTAACATGATGTCCTTCCCTGATCTAGAAGGAAAGCAAAGTGCTATTAATTTCCTGAAGACAGGCAAGCTAGTATGAGTGCTTTACCTCCCTGTTTTCTTTGCCATTACACACCACAAATTTTGCTAGATTTGCACTGAATTTTAAATAATTGCAAGAAAGTTATCAACTAATCTTATTCCTTTCAGCTGCATCTATTTACACTGTTTTGCAGATGTTTTTACCCCCTCCTGTTTGGACTTTTCTACAGTTTGTTGCATTGAGTATCTTGTATATATCAGGTGGTAACATTGTCAATGAGCTCTATTTCATTTTCAGGTTGTTATACAACAAAATGTGGGCAGGTTAAAAAGGGGTAAATATTTCTGCAAGACAGTATAATATATCCAACTTCTCAGTATGGGTACTGGTTATTTGTATGAATTGTATATGTAGAAATCCATATATTCGAGCTAACAAACTTCTGCTGCAATAGGATCTCATAACTTCACTGGACTGCTTAAAATTGACGTAGAGACTTTGGTCTATGATATTCACATTTGGGCCACCTAAGCTGCAGTCCTGTGCACACTTACTTGCGGAAAAGTATCATTGAAAGCAATGCACCTTCTGAGAAAATATTGCAGAGACACAAAAAGCCTGCACATAAAACTACTTCTATATCACTTGATAGGCTAAGATTTCTATGCTTAGTGGTTTATCTGAGACAGACACAATGCAAAACAATGTAAACATAAAAAATATAAAATGA